GGCTACAGAGTGAGTTCCAGGACAGGTGCCAAAGCTACACAGAAACCCTGTCTCGAAAAACAAACAAACAAAAACTAATAAAAACTAGACTGTGTGACTGAAAGTCAGTCCTTACCCTTCCATATTGTTTGAGGTAGGGACTCTTCACCACTGTGTAAGCTAGGCGATGGCCCAGGGGCTTCAGGGGGATTCACCAATCTCCACCTTAGTGTCTCCACACAGGGATTATTACATATGCATGCCTCTGACTTTCACACGGGTTCTGGGAATGCAAACCCGGGTCACCAGGCTTCTGCAACGAGTACTTTTACCCCCTGAGCCAGCTCTCCGGCTCCCTCCTACAGAAATTTTAATGCTATTAACATTTTGCGAGCCAGTATGAGTCTGTCAACATGGGCATCTAGCCTCTGAGACTCTAGATACACACATGTGATTTCTAAAATGTTTCAGACTTTCATGATAAATACTGAAGGGTGCATGAAGTGACCCTGAATATCTAAACACATCCCTAATGTTCTTTATTATCTCAATCCAACAATATTTAAGCAATATCATTCCTCACCTTTGAGGGTGTGTTTTTCTCCTCCTCCACCCCAAGAGGTGCCTGAATCATAGCTGATCTTAAACATTACATACACTGTTTGTTTTTTTTTTACATACCTATTGTAAAGTCTAATTTATAAATTAGGCAGTGAGAATAACAGCAACTAACAGTGAAATATAACAGGTATAATGATATACCGTAAATAGATGGTATTTTAAACCCATGAATGTTTATTTCTGTGTTCTCTAATATCATCTGACCGCCGTTGCCCCCAGATAACTGAAACTAAACAAACAAACAAACAAAAACTAAGGATGGGGCATAGGGAGATTCACTGTTTGCTCATCCAATGGTAATTTCATTTGTTTGAACATACTACCATTTCCTGCCTTTCCGCTGGTAATTCGGTTGGATCTCGTGAGGCAGATCTCTCACACGGGGGCCATTGATGAAGATACTGTGCACTTATTAAAT